TTATTAAATGGATGCCACCTTGGGACAATAAAAACCTCCCTAACCCTACCCGTTACTTTATCTTCAACTTTTTGATTGTTTCCTTCATTTTTATTGAAAATAAATGCGTTTCTGATGTGATATGAGATTTGAAAAGGAAGAACAAAAAGTTTGGTAAAAGGCGGATTCAAATATATATATTTTTTTAATCCAAATAGCTTGCTGAAATACTTCTGCGGCCGCCTCATCTATGTCAGCCATGCTGATCATGACCTGTCCTGGTGACCCTGATCGCGCCTGACCTGCCTTCCGTTTCCACTATACTCTCTCTCACACATACATACTTTCTTCTCTTACATACACATAATTTTTTCAGACATACATACATTCTATATATATATATGTGAAAGGAGAATGTAAGTGTGTGAGAGTGCCAGAATGAATTATGGCTTGTACGGCCCCTCATACGCATGCATGTATATATTTAGGAACAATATGGTATGTTTATATATTAAATATATTTATATATACTATAAAATATAAGACTATAAATATATAAATGTATACACATGTAAATATTTTCAAAGTATATACTGTATGTGTGTGTGTGTATTTATATATACATAATAAATATACACAGCACACATACACATTATGTAAACAAAAACTTTTATTTTGAATGTTATTAATCATGATCAATCATTTGACAGCACTAATATGAACTTAATATGATGCCCAGAATAGACTAGTAATTTAATACAAAACCGAAATCAAGTATCACATTTGTTGAGGCAGGTCATGTGAGTTAAGTAAACCCTCCCTTCAGCTGTCTTTACATGGTGGATAACTTCAGATGCTTCAGATAATCAGTAATATTTGAGAAATATTTGATTTATGTGGTCCTGACTGAAAAAAAGGTTGAGGTGTACAGGTAAAATGTGTAGGTTTTCCTTCCTTGCTACTTCTTAAAAGAAAATTTATCTCAATTTCTACTCGTACTTTGGCTGACCTGTGAGTTCGGTGTATTCCAGCATGTTCTCTTTGGCTTTTGAGATCATCAGCTTGCCATCAGCTAGCACAAGGGCTTCCTTGATCCTAATGTACAGAAACAAGCATACAGCTACAAATAACAGTACAACCTAAAGAAATATCATGATGCATTCAGAAGAAAGAACAAAATAAAATAATGTGCTCTTTCGCACAAAAACCCACTTGACATCAATGATGTAGCCGGTCTTGTGCTGAAGAGCCTGACGATGAAGAGTGTATCTGGTGTGAAACATGCCATAAACATTATCAGCCACCTGTGAGAGAAACAGAGAGACATTAACAAGAGCACCGACTGAAACAGTGAGATGTACATATAATAGACACTGTTTTTATTTCACACTGGCCCAGCTAACCGATCACAGCACACACTGGCCCAGCTAACCGATCACAGCACACACTGGCCCAGCTAACCGATCACAGCACACACTGGCCCAGCTAACCGATCACAGCACACACTGGTACACACAGCACATTTCGTATTTCAGAATGCAGGCAGTCATTTGATACAGAAACTGTTCAAGCCGTTCATGCCAGACTGGGGAGAGAGATGTTGAAATAATGTAAAATATGTGAAAAATAATGTGTTTTTCGAACAATCTAGTATGAGAGCCTTTTCTAGTACACCCCCAAAACAAAATCAAGACTTTGTAAAAGAGCCTAATAGGACCCCTTTAAAAAGAAGTAACATTGTTAATAAAACGTGAATACATAATTCTGACAAACAAGTGCAATTGTGTTATTGTAAAATTTAGATATGTTTTAATTATTGATTGAGCCTAATTACTGATAAAAAGCCAATAGTTGTGAAAATGTTTAAAGGGGTCATATGATGCTATTAAAATTTTTCCTTTCTCTT